TATAGGCGATCGCTTCCCACGTCATGACGAGCAAATAAGGCAAACAGGTCGGAAAGGAAGTGAGGAGGAAGGCGCAGGTCAAATGGAGAACAGTTGAAGACGGGTAATGCAGACTACGACGGGGCGACCCTCTGAACGTTGCAACGGAAAGGAAGTTAATGATGGTGGGAGGAGGAGAGAGCTACAGGAATCGGCAGGGCTGGGTTCACCAAAGTTAAGAGCGTTTAGTTTGAGGTCCGCGTCGTCTTTCCACAAATCCACAGGCGAACGATATCATCGTCATCATCGGGGTACCTTAAAACTTCGGCAGGGGCCTACGTCACACGTCGGACCACAACTGGTTCCCATGGCTCTGTTGGCCTTCATCGCCAGGCTTCTCACTCTGGGCGGTTACGTCGCAGCCAGACTGGTCACCTGGGGCAAGTGGGGTCCCACTCAGCACGTAATGAAGACTAGGTAAAGGAGGGGGTATGACCCCTGGACTCTACAAGTGGGTCGTGCAGATGTCATTGTTCAGGCTATGCCGACTGTGCACCCAAAGAGAGACTTTTCGGTATGTATTCTTCAATGCCCTGGCAGTACGTCAGAGAGTTGGGGTTGATGGACCCGTGCCTCGACGGCCAAGGGGTGCGATCCGAAGGAAAAAAAGGAGGGCGGAGGCAGACGGGTCTCCGGTGCACCTGCCCAGACTTGGGTCTACCTGGTGGCCTTTCAATGCCAGCCTGTGTCTACGAGTTTGCTGCTTCAACCGTTAAAAAGTGAACCAGAGGCCCGTGGCGTCGATCCAACCCCGCTTTACGCTGTCTACTAGCCAAATGAAATCCCTCAGGTGGGCCAAGGCGAAAATGCGACAATCTGGCCCTTGACAGTGCCCACCTTTAGATCTTACTACGTTGGTAGACCTAAAACGTTCACACGTAGGTCTCGCCACTGGTTTTCTCCAGACCTACTGCCATCCATACTCCCCCCTGGCATTAAGCTACCAGCTTGCCGGGCAGCACAGTAGTCCTATCGCTGATTTACACACACTCCCCCACCATTTACTCATCGCCTCGTCGCACCTTGGCACCCACACCCATAGGCTTCATAATCGACACGACAACGACATGCCCGTTCCCTTCAGCTATTCCTTCGGTCTTGACCTTTCCAAATTTATTTGCCTTCTAGTTTCGGTCATTCTCTTTCGCCTTCGTCCCCAACAACCCTCCCAGCCCGCAATTCCCTCCGCCGCATCCACCCACCCTAGTTCGCCATGTTCCTGTACCTCATGTCCCTCCTCCTCTGCGGAGGCTTCATGTGCCTATCGATTTGGCAAGTCATCAACTTTGTGGACATGGAGGCCGATTATATGAATCCCATCGAATTATGTCAGTCGCTGAACGCCTGGGTGGTCCCTGAGGTGATGGCCCACGGCACCCTCACCCTACTATTTTTGCTCACGGGTGAGTGGGCCTGCTTCCTGGTCAACGTACCCTTGCTGGCCTGGAATGGCTACAAGATCTCCCAGAAGCGGCACCTCTATGATCCCACCGTTGTGTTCCGCCACCTGTCCGAGTACAAGCGGGAAGGCTTTATCAAGGTCGGCTTCTTCTTCTTCTCGTTCTTTTTCTATCTCTACTGGTAAGTAATTTTAATGCCGCACGCATTGTGTGATGGGTAAAAGTCGAGCCGTAATGGTAGTAACCCCCCTCCCCAGGTTCATATGCCCAAAAAATACCTAGCTAACCACCTGAATCTACTCGTCACCATTTCTACACCTGCCTCCCCTCTACCTTGCGTTTTTCGCCCAGCATGATCTCGTCGCTTATCGAGGCCTAGGCGAGCATACCCTACCACGGTGAAGGTCTGTACATATCGCTGCGCTGCCCTCGGCAGTTGGATGACTACTTGTAAACGGTCCCCACCTCTACCCTTTAGGTCTGCTTCATTCTGACACCTTGTTTATCAGGGCTAGGTTACATTCTTGTTTCGACACCCTTCGCTTTAACGCGACCGCTATTGGTGAGAATTTGGTCGTTTTTATCTCTTGCAGTGTGATACCCTTTGGCATTTGTTCCTCATCGTTACCTATTTTCTGATTCCTTTGGATGCACTTTCACGCCTGTAAACATCCGTATATTTCCAATCAGACGCATTACCTCCGTTCAAATATTTGAATCTTAGCGATTGTGTGGTGTAGTATATTTAACTGATATCATATTCTCCACCCCGTAGTGTTGTACAATAGCCCGTCATTTATGGAGGCGGACGGTAAATAGTCGTGATTTAGGTGTTCTGGCCTGCAATTACAGATGACGTTCTTCTATGCGGTCGTCCAGAACGACCTCGCATCACCATGTGCACAGAGGTGGCCACCCAACGACCTCACCGTACCTCCGACCAGCCACCTACGCGCCTGATGAGTACAATGGCCAATTTCACCACCTCCACGTCTTACCACAGCCATCTAGGCCACCTCTCCTTGTCGAACGATACTTGCCATGCTTCCTTACGCTTCCCCAAGATTCCATTATTCTCTAAACTAGCACTATACCAAGAAGGCCAAGTCATAGGTATCTGTCTTACATAAGGCACCAAGTCAGTACCAATAAAGATCAGCTAAAGCACCTTTACTACTGGTATTCTTGGATAACAATCACACCTACCACACGCCATACTATCACCTGCCAACAGATTACTACTCATTCCTTGTAGTAGTATATTAATGTGTGTCTCGTTTATTATATCAATTACTTCAGCTAGGATACTTGTGAAAAATGATCTTGCCACTGGAACCAACAACCACTCCTATGCACTTACTCCCATCCGCTAAAATGGCCTTTCACTAGCCTTCATGTATGATCCAGAATGATCCCCTCTCTACTACCATGGATACTGATCATTCCCATAACCTATAGTCGTATAACTGATTGGCAAGGGCCTATAATGATCTTGCCATTTTGCTTTAAGTAAGATGCCATCATACCTTTGGATAAGGAGCAGCACCAACAGCAACAATTATATTGAATTAAGTATACATTTAAATAATCCTCCCAACAGCACCTACGATACACTTTTTTAGTTTCAGACAAATGGAATGAGGTACTGTATGTGCTAATTAACATGATAGTTGTGTAATTTTATTATTAAATACATAGATTCACATCCCTGCTTTTGCCAGGAAGTGTAGGGAATGTGCAATTGCGGCACTTAGGTGGACCTGGCCCTGTTGCCTGGCTGGTTCATCAAGGGCCTTGTGCATAGCTATCTGGTAGAAGTGCTGTAGTCTCTCCCAGGAGTGACAGACTTGCTTGGATGGGCAAGGGGTGTAGGCATAGGATATGCCACCCAGCTGATGAAAGGCCTCAGGACAGACCAGGTACCCTTGGGGTGTATGGTTGGTGGCCTGGTTGTACCGGATGAGGTTCTAGTAACTCTCAATCATGGCCAACTCAAGTTTAGTATCCTTGACCCTCTGGACAGGTTCCTTGCACCGGCTGTTGTGGGTGTGGGACTCCAGGGCCATCTCATCTACCAGGTCCATGTGCTTATTAAAGCACCAGCAAACCTCACTGGCCAGGTTGTCTGGAGTGACCTGTAGGCCCAAATGGCACCAGAGGTCGTACAGGGCAATGGTACCAGTGCCAGGCTCTTTGATTTAGCTGACTCTAGGGCTCCTCTAGCAATGTTGATTCACTGGGGGTGGAGACTATACTGCACGGGGACAGTGGTTGGGGCACAGCCCCACTAACCTTATTCCAGGGAACAAGGCGAATTGTGATGGGGCTGTCTGCCTCCTGGCTAACCAAGGCGTGATGGCTGATGGGCTGGAGGGTTGCCACAGCCTGGGGCTGTTGGAGAACTCACCTGTCAACCTCCCTCTGGCAGTGGTGGTTCTATTTGGTGAGCACAATGACACAGGAAATGTAAGGCAAAGGTTAGCAGCTGGTATATAATGAGACTTTTGCCTATTCCTGATTAGGCCCTAGCAGATTGTATAAAGTGCACTTACCCGGATTGTCTGGATTGTGTCCCAAATTGCAATTTCTTCAGGTGCTAGCTGCCTCCCAGCAGTGATTGGGGGGGCAGGATTAGTGGGCTGTTGTGTTGATATTAGGCCCAAATCTAATACCATAACCAAAAGGCTATTCTACTATCACAGAATTTATGGTTCTGAAATAATAGAATTGGACTTTACCTTAGGGTAACCTAATGAGTAGTTCCCAATCACCACAGGGGATGAAAAATCAAGCAATTAGTCTGAAAATATTGACATTTGTCCCAGAACCTTTCCAAAATAGAAGGTAAAATTTTGGAGATGCCAGTTCACACTCCGCCTGTGGGTTGGAGCCGTGGCCTTGCTTCCCTTGCTTGGCCAGTTTGATGGACTTGCTAGTACCACTCCACCTGCCCTTTGTTGCCTGACTTGCTTCTCCCATTGCCCACCTTGTTAACATTGAAATTGATACTCTACCATTTTTTATGCTATCCATATCTACAACCCACCCTTTGCCACAACAGCCAGCTCCATACCATCTGCCCTACTCCCCTGTGGTGATTGGGAGCCATCACATTAGATTATCATAAGGTAAGCAGTTCCCAACTAGATTTGTGTTTGGTCAGCTAAAGAGGGTGCTACAGCTTATGCTACCATTGCCATGAACCAAAGCACTGTGCTCCCAGTTCCCCCATCTACCAAACTCCATAAACTTGGTTCAATTAAGGTACATGACTGCTAATGTGTAAATAATATTGTGCATGATTAGACAATCAGAGGTGCCAAATGTAATGCCCGCTGTTCAAATTATGCCTCCTGGCCCCTATCCCCATATATGACATACCAAGCCCCTGATAATAAATGTACTCAATGAAATATCTTCATTGGACCTATGCCTGCAATTAACCCACCATGAGCCTCAGCTTTGCAAACAAATAACTAGGCCAGCAAAAGTACAATTTAACTTTCCTAACCACTACCCTGAAAGAAATATAGTTTACTATGGTCCCAATTTTTCATGTGAGCCATTGTAGTATAGTGGCAGTACGTCGCGTTGTGGCCGCGCTGACGCTGGTTCGATTCCAGCCAATGGCATACATTTTTAATACTTTTCCTTTCCAGTTTGTTGACAAAGACGCCTACCCCCCTCTGGTAATAATGAGTATTGGAACTGATTAATTGTCCGTGTTGGAAATGGCTTCTCTCTTTCAGAACACTCATTTTTTATATAAATTTTATTCCCCCATTTTTGAAATCCGCTGACTGCTATGTTTTTGGTTCTATTTTTGTTTTCCTTGAAGTAGCTACCATGATTCATAGTAAATCTCTGCTTGCATACAACTAGCAGGAATTTGATTTAAGTTAATAGAGGCATAAATAATTAGAAAATGGTTTAAGGAATGAGAGAATAGGGGAATAAGTGGGGCAACAAGATTACAACTAAAACAATAATGAAGAAAAGAATGACCAATACTATGATCTAGGTACAGCCATTGTCTTTTCCTCTCCATATCTTGTAGGCTTTTAGCAGAGCTGGGGTGCAGCACCCAGTGGGTGGGAGTTTGGTTTGGTGGCTACGGATGGGTGCATCCTCCGCAGTTGCTCCTTCGTTTGGCATTGTTCCCATGCAGGGGTATCAAGCTCAATTGACAGCCTTTGGACTGGGTCCAAAGTGGGTGTCCCTCACTCCTCCACATATATTTACATGCCAGGGAAGTATTCTTGCTCACACGTTCTCACTCTTGCTATCGGCTTGTAGGTAAGGAAAGGACTCACATCTCATTTTTATATTAGTCCTGCGGCCCCTGTTGCAATTTACTGTCTGCCATGGTTAACTATCAGAGACAGTATTATTTCACCTTTGGCTCAGAATGCTTGATTACGACAATGGCATTGCTGGCTAGGTTGAAGTAGGCCGCACAATAATATAGCTTATCCTCCCACAATCTAGCTATATCATGACACCACTGGCTTACTTTCCCATCCACTGCTGCTCTCCCATGTTTCTCTTAAGATTGTTTGTACATGTTTACTGGTGTGGTAGACAAGAACCCAAGGGGTGGTTTATTACAATACGTGCAAGATAAAGGAGAGTAAGATAAAAACATTAATAGGTAGGTTTTTTGGGCTTATATTGCCGGGAACTGTGTGGGGAGTTAGGTCTTGATTGGGTCTTGGTAGTTAGTTATAAAGGGTTCTTGGTATGATTGCCCTGGCCAACCGTAAGTGTTAAGAGGGCGGTGCTTGTATCTGTATGGCGTCGTGATGGCTTGCTGGATCTTGTGAAACGTCAGCTTTTGGGTACCAACAGCTACCCAATGTCAGTATAATCGTCTCCTCCTCTACTCCTTTGGTAGCCGTTTGGCAATATTCCCTACACCTCATTCCGCGCGATAGAATGGATCTTGAGGATGCCCATTATGTGCATCAATCCATTACAAAAGTACTTCGCTTGCCCTGCAGACCATCCACCTTGGCACAGCGTGAGCCAAGCGGGGATACAGCCCATTCCCCACCTCCCCTCTCACATGTAAGTCGATAAAGGCTATGCCTCTCCAAGAGACCGGCAGATCACACCTGGTATTCCACCGCACCCGCTATGGCTCAGTGCAGCAGCCGAAATATCAAGCACATGGCGCTTACCATTCTCCATAGGTCAGCAGGTACCCCCAAAGCACCCACCACTTGCCAGCTACGAGCCTCGGCGGCCTGTACGACCCACCTTATTACCAGTAATCTCGACAAGACTCTGGGCCATCGTGGCCGCCATACCAAGCCCTTAACTTGACAAGTCCTCACTCACGATGGCTTCCAGTCAACGTGAGGTGAAAGAAGTGCCAGACGGCGCACCAAACTCGTCTGTTTCGGTGACACGGGCATACACGCGCCAATGTCAGTGCACAAGGGTGCAGGTAAGCCACTGCTACTTGGGCCTACCATCTAACCAATCCTGGTAAAAATCATCCTCAGAGTGACTCGTCAGGCTTCCGGGGGCAATACTTAGTCATTTTCTGCCTTAGATTTCCAACTGAATAGTAAAGAACGGTACCTAATCCTTCCAACCTACCACCGGATGACCGACCCTATACTGATCTGACCGTTGTTCGTGGTCCATGGTTCCACCCCGTTGCCGAACCTACGCACGTGGTCATGCTCATTCCCTGCAGTGCGCAGTTGGGGCTTCTCAAGGTACGGGAAAACTGGGTGGCAGCCTGCGTGCTTTCCACTTCGAATCGAACGGTTGGCTTCTATGACTATTGGACAGAAGGCCGGTGGT